GCATTTAAAAAAAATCACTGCAAAACTTAATGGTATAGGTGCACACTTCCACAGTCAAGTGAGTCCACAGGGAAAAGAAAGTTTTTAGTAAATAGTGTTAGAATGACTGGGTGTCTATAAGGAGAATTAAACAGCCTCAAATACTGCCTCATACCACACACAAAGGCTAATTTGAGATAGATTATAAGCCTAAAATAAAGGCCCAAACTAAAAAGCTTCAAGAAGAGTTTCATGATCTTGAATTCATCAAAACCTTCTTAAACAAGACAGAGAACATACCAATAATCAAAGAAAAAATTGATAGATTGAATTCACCAAAATTAAAAATGTCTGTTCCTCAAAAGGCACCAATAAAAAGTGGCTGAGCTACCAAGTGGCAAAAAACATTCATAAAACATATATCTGACAAAGAAACTGTATCCAAAGTACATAAAGAACTCCTATAAGTTATGATAAAAACAGAAACAATTGAATTTTCCAAAATGGTCAAAAGACTCTAACAGACACTTCCCAAAGGAAGATACATTCATAATACTTCTATCTGACAAAGGCCTGATGTCCAGAATATAGGTAACTCCTACAAATCAGTAGTAACACAAATGGGCAAATGGGGCACTTAGGTGGCTCAGTCAGTTAAGCATTTGACTCTTGGCTTCAGCTCAGGTAATGATCTTGCAGCTTTCTAAGTTTGAGCCCTCCATCAGGCTCTGTACTGCCAGTGCAGAGCCTGCTTGGGATTCTCTCTCTCTCCCCCCCTCTCCTTCTGCTCCTCTCCCACCTGTGCTATCTCTGTCTCTCTAAAAATAAATAAATAAACTAACAAAAAAATTAGGCAAATGATTTGAACACACACACACACAGACACACACACAGAGCCCAGAAACAGAAAAAAATCTTAATGTCGTCAGTCATTATGAATTGTAAATTAATATCAAAATTTCTTACCACCACACTCTTGCTGGAATGGCTAAAATAAAAAACACTGCATCAGGTAACAAGGATGTGGATCAACTAGAACCCTAATATAGTGTCAGTGGGAGTATAAAATGATATAATCACTTTGGAAAAAGGCACAACAGTTGCTTTTAAAACTAAGTATCCCTATTACCTAGCAATTCAATTTCTTGATATTTACCCAAGAGAAATGAAAACATTTATCCACCAAAAAAGCAGCTCTGCTCTATTCATAATAGCCCCAGACTGAAAATATCCCAGATGTCTATTAACAGGAGAATGGGTAAACAAATACTGTTATATTGCTCAATGATGAAAAGGAATGAATTTCTGGCACATATAGCAACATGAATGAGCAAAAGGAACCTGACACAAAAGAGTACATGCTATAAGCCATAGACTGAATGTTTGCATCCTTCCTATCCTTCACACATATGTTGAAGCCTAATCCCCTATATGATGGTATTTGGATGGAGTCTTTGGGAGATGATTCAATCGTAATGGTGGATCCCTTATGAATGGGATTACTGCACTTATAACAGAGATCCCAGAGAGCTCTATCATTTCATTTTCATTTTCTTTCTGCGACACAAGGGCACAGCAAGAAGGCAGCCATCTAAGAACCAAGAAGTGGGTTCTCACCAGACACTGAATCTGTGCCCTGGACTTGGACTTCCCACTTTCCAGAACTGTGAGAAATTAATGTTTTCATTTTGGCCAGTCAGTCTATGGTATTTTTGCTACAACACCTTGAACTGACTAGGACAATATATGATTCCATGAAGTTCTAAAACAAGCAAAATTAATCTCTGGTGATAAAATCAGAAGAGTGGCTGCTGGAGTAGAGGGGAAATTGATTGGGAGGAATATCAAAGAACTTCTGTAATGATAGAAATGTTCTATACCTTGATGGGGGTGTGGGTTACTCAAGCATATGTATTTTTCTAGATTAATCTAACCATACACTTAAGATCTGTGTATTTCAATGTATGTACTTCAGTTTAATATTTTTTTAAACATTTATTCATTTTTGAGAGACAGAGCCTGAGTGGGTGGAGGGGCAGAGAGAGAGGGAGAAATGGAATCTGAAGCAGACGCCAGGCTCTGAGCTGTCAGCACAGAGCCCCAAGTGGGGCTCAAACTTAGGAACTGGGAGATCATGACCTGAGCTGAAGTCGGACACTTAACCAACTGAGCTACCCAGGCGCCCCTATGTACTTCCATTTTCAAAAGATAGTGCCCACTGCTCCCTAGGACTGATTTATAAGTATCTGCTGGTCTATAAGAGACAGAGGAGTAACTAAGCCAGTAACTAAGTTAAGTCATCCTGACTGATGATTGGAGCTTTGAAAGGCATGATACTATCATGGTGTGGAAACTCCAAAAACCAGTTTAAGATAATGTTCTGGATCGGAAACCCAGGGGCTACTTGGTGGTGTATGCAGAATGGAGAGAAGTGAGCACAGAAGGAGAAAGACGGAAAGGAAAACAAAAGACTTAAAATGAGCCTGCAAACTAAGGTTCCAAATCACAGAAGAAATCAAATGCTAAGAGAGGTAGTCAACAAATACTCAGAGCATGAGATCATCTCAAATATAATCCTTTAAAGCAAGTCTAACACAGATGTTAAAATAAGTATTTGAAGGATTCTCAGCAAGAGTTCTGAAAGAAACATATCCATTAAAAATTAAAAACAAACGCTTTAAAATATTTTAAAATACTGATATAAAAGCAAATGGGTAAATGTGAAAAAAGCAATTGTAAAAGTTGGAAAAGATTTGTAAAGTTATTGAAATTAAAAACAAAAAACCATACAGCTCAATTGACTATGTAATCTAAACTAAACACAAAGAATGAATTTGTGCATTTGAAGGTAGTACTGAGAAGCTAACCCAGGGCTCAGCATACAGAGACACAGACTATGATTTTTAAAAACATGAAAAGACAGTTGCAAGACATGGAAGGTAGACCAAGAAACTCCAAAGGGAGCCCCTAAAGAGGACTAGCAGAGATACAATCACCAAAGAAATAATAAAATGGTTTTCCCAAACTGAAGAAATGTCTAAATCCTCAGATCAAAATTACATTCCATGTTCCTAGCTAGATAATAAAAAATAAATTCACATGTAGACAAGAGTAATGGATCTGAAAAGTATAAAAGATAAAGATAGTCCATAATTATTTAAAAGTCATCGAGTGGAAAGAACAGCTGATCTGCAGAGGAACAGACCTGACAAGAAGTCAAAAGATGTTGGAAGATCTGTCATTCTAGAATATTACATTCAGCTCGATTAGTCTCTGAAGGTGAGGGCAGAATGAAGTTCTTGTCAGACATATAAAGTGTAACGAACTCTACCACCAATAAATCTTCACTTCAACTAAAAGTTGCTTTTTGAAAGATTGCTTTAGTGAGAAGAAATGTAAGCCTGGAGAGGAGACATAGGATACAAATAAATAGAGAACACAAAAACTGATAAAATTTGTCAGTAAATTTTAACTATTGACTGTTACTTTAAAGTTACTTTTTGTTTCAAAAAACAAGGTAAAAGTCCTTGGGTTAGTTTTTCCTCTCTCCCTTTCAAGTGTAGTTATGTTACTCATTGAAAGTATAATACAGTTTGGGGCTCTTGGGTGGCTCAGTTGGTTAAGCATCTGACTTAGGCCATCAGGCTGTCTGCCGTCAGTACAGATCCTGCTTTGGATCTTCCGTCTGCCTCTCTCTCTGCCCCTCCCCAATGCTCTCTGTCTCTCTCTCTCTCTCAAAATAAATAAACATTTTAAAAATGTCTTTAAAAAAAACATTATTCAATTCATGTGTTTTCCTTGTATTTATTTACTTGTGAGTTTTGAGCAGGAGAAAAATTAACATGGTTCTAAAAATTCTATAGTATTTTTGAATTCTGAAGTACTCAAAAATGTTTACTCAAAGAAGTGTTCTTTCTCCCATGTCTTCTTCCCTGTTCTTATTCTTTCATCTTTTCCACTCAGTTTTCTAACCTACCTGCTGTAGGTAACTATAATCTAATGGATTTCTGGTCTTTTCTTCCTGTGTATCTTTCTCTAAAAGGAACAGATACACTTGTGTATTCTTTTTCTTCTTCTTTCTCATACAAAAGATAGTTTCAGTGGAGATCACTTTTAATCCATTAAATACATTTTAATAGCTTTGATTCTCAGAGAGAGATGTTTGAAATCTTCATCCTTACCTTCTCAGAAGTCTACTGTTGGAATGTTTTATTTTGCAAATTTGCCTGCCCTGACCTCAAGAACATTCAAATGCAAGGAACAGAGGGAATTTAGAGAATACCTGGGCCTCATCCACTTACAGAGGTAAGATGTGGCCTTAAACCAGACAAAATGTTCTGATGGTACCTTCAGAATGACATGTGATAGCTTTGATTTAGATAATGGCTCTTATGGTGACCTTTCCTAAATAAATATGAATTCAAAGCAATCTGATTTTTTTTTAATGCACAAAGAACTCTCTAGAACATAATATTCCTATTCTCTTACAGGGGGTGGGGGAGGGCCCATCACTTCATATGAACAAGGAAAAATCCCTTTAAATGGAGATTCTGTAATCCTCTATGCAAGTTCTCCTTCTCATCCTTTTAAGAGCCACAAATTTCAGAAACTCACCTTCTACGTCTTCATCTAAGTTGAAAATGTTGAAATGATAGAGACAAGGGAAGATCTCTTTAGTATTCCATGGGAGGCTTCCCTCAGCACGGGTTACCAGTCATTAGCCAATACTCCAGGGCCATGGTTCTTCAACAAGTCACACGTTTCTGCAACATTCCTATACTTTTTTTCTTGGCCTCATCTTCCCTGAGGAGTTAAATATTTTCTAGATGGTCTAAAGTAAGAACAACACTCATCATGCTTTATTTTTCGAGGGCGGAAATAGAAGCTAAGTCAATTGATCACAGGAATGAGAGGGAACATGCCATTATATTTTAACCAGTGTGTAAAGAAGGCTCTTAGGTAACCAGGCATCCGGGCCCTTCTCTCCAAAGAATTTTGTTATTCAGCAAATTGCTGTTGGGATGAAGCTTTATAGCTTTGAAGTCCTTGTAGCCATCTTCCTCTTGTGTGAGCGGCATGTCTTCGCTTTTCAGAGGTAACCCAATAGAATCTTAGATGGTGGGGGGCCATTTTCCTCGCTTGTTTGCCCCCCATGGATTCCAGTCAGTGCACTAACCTGGGGAAGCAAAACATTAAAAGCTTGAAGGTCAGCTCTTTCTGAAACTCTCTGCATTGCTCTGACAAATAGTACATTTCAGTGTCATAAGGATCTCACTAGATCCAGGGGCTTGTTTTCTTATTACCTTATCTCTCTCTTATTACCGAGAGAACGCTGGAGGACATGTATATTAAGTGACTAGGGAGATTAAAGAAATAGAAGCTTTTATAAAAAAAATTATTTTAACTCTAACACATCACATGATTTACATTTTCTGCCACCACATCCAAAATATATTAACTGGATAATTTGCATTAACTAGGAATAAAACAACTCTGGGTAGCTACAAATACTTTTACATGGAACGCGGCAAGGAGAAGAGGGTAAAGGTATGAAATATAAGGTTTCGGTTGAGCAAGGGATATGAAAGGAAGAATGGCTGTGTTATAGAGAGCACATATAGAGGCATATCTATTTTTATTTTGCTCAGTAGAGTGGTTCCCTGGAGATTTTCTACTAAAACCACATAGCAGAACACAAATTAACCAGCACATATAACATGATGTATGACAAATAGTACCAAGTTATGTGTAATATTGTAATTTATTAACTAGTGAAATCATAAATTTTAAAGATTGATATTGTTTCCTTTGGAATTACCTTATTTTTCCCTCTTTGTTTTGCTTCTAAGATTCTTTCCTTCTCTAATTATCTTTGAGACAAATGTCTCTCCCCACTTGGGGAATGGTAGAGAGAGAAAGGACATGCCAGGGACAGGGAAAATTGTACCAAAAATACTTTTCTAAGTCAGAAAGAGCTGCTGGATGGCATTTGAGAACACAGAGCTTGAGAGCCTGACACTGTTTGTACAGCATCACCGATCTAACTGTACCTGGTTGACTCTTTTTTGTTCAATATGATTATCAAGTGTCATGCAGCAAATTCCATCACCAAATAATGATTGTTATTGAACTGATATGGGAGTCAAATTGCCACAATAATTAGTGACTCATATCTCTATGTGTTATCAATAAATCAGATGACTATAATTTCTAAGGTCCTTGCCAGGTCTAACTTGATGATTGGCTTTAATTAAAGGTAAGCGAGAAAGAAGGAGGAAAACTGATATCAATGTGTCCAGCTGGGTACTATAGACATTGGCATCGTCATCCACTGAGAGGAGAAAGGGAGGGGGACACACGGTTATCTGGCACCTGTGTTGCCTCATGCACTCGGCTCGGTAACGTAGAAACGTCACCTCATTAAGTGCCTACAATCCTACACCCTAGGAATCTTTTTTTTTTAATGTTTTATTTATTAATGAGAGAGAGAGAGAGCAGGGGAGGGTCAGAGAGAGAGAGAGACACAGAATCTGAAACAGGATCCAGGTTCTGAGCTGGCTGTCAGCACAGAGCCCGATATGAGGCTCGAACCCACAAACCGTGAGATCATGGCCTGATCTGAAGTCGGACGCTTAACTGACTGAGCCACCCAGGTGCCCCCCTAGGAATCTTTGTGGTAACATCTTACAGAGAAGGAAACTGAGCCCTAGGAAGGGTAAATCAAAGAGTAAAGTGTAGAGTTTGGATTCAGAATCACATTCTCACATCAACTCATTTCACTGTGTCGGACTACCTCTAAAAAATCTAGAAATTAGGAAGAGAGCTAATTTGACGGAGGTCAGATTTAATCACGGTGAGTTTGGGGCTAGAAGTCCAGTATCATGGTCCTGACCTCGGTGGGTGAGTGGTGATGCCATGCTAGCCCCTTGGCAGCATCCTCAGGGCCGGGCCAGCTGCTGTGGAGCTTGGTGGGCTCACCTGAATGCTACCATTTGGATCATATCATGAACTGAATCCTACATAAGACAATCATTAACGAGCTACTCCAAAAGCTTTCCCATGTCGCTTCAAAATGAGAAAGCATATAACAGCTTGGTGGAACTAAATATTATGCAAATAAAGGACTTACACAAAAAAATATAATGAAGAAATGAATGAGAAAATTCCTTCATGCATGGCTCTTCTTACAAAATTTTCTTCAGCATATACTTTGGTGTCTGATGGATACTTACATGAAGAGAGGAATAAGAATAAGATTATATTTTAACCGATCACATGGTACTGAAAATATTTTAATCCTTTGCCTATACTGTGGTGGTACCTTTGTACTGGGGCACAGCCGCAGCTTTGTGGGTGGATGCATATCTGATTCCTCCCTCCCAGCCCTCCAACAGAAAAACATTCCAAACTCTTCTTTCCATGAGTAAAAATAAGTTCATTTGTTTGTTTTTACCAACTGCTTCTGAGCGCTGCTTTTCCATGAACAGCCTATTACTGAAGCTAAAAGGGAAATCTAATTTCATTCAGGGTGAGAGATATTGATGAATTTTTTCTGGGGGTGAGAATACAACCCCTTCTAAAAAGAGCTAACGACCTGGCTCTTCCCTAAAGCTGGTCTTTGCTACTGTTTTCTTGTCTGATCATTTTCCTAATAACGCTTTGTATTCAGGCAATCTCTTACTGGCTGATTTGGAGGTGCATTTTGATACATCTCATCAGTGAAACGCACCCCTCCCCCCAAGGAGAACCAAAAAAAGTTTTCAAGACATAAATGCAATATGCCAGAGAGAAAGGCAGGCAAGCAAACAAATAAAAACCAAAACAGGTCTCTGCAGTCACTTATTGTTAAAGGCCAAACACTGTAAAGGGCAAAAATGAAATCCTAGCAAGAACCTGGTAAACAGAGACATTAATTGTGTTGTGCTCTGATTACTTAAGTGCAGCCTGTCAGTGGAGGCTATTTATTTGAAACAGAGAAGAGGGGTAAGTACAAAGAAAAGAAGAACGAATCGGAGAGTGGAGGATGGTTGAGGAGAGAGGGCTTCTGAATTATTAATAGACCATAGGACTTGTTCCTTCTGTCGACTTCATACACTATCTGCCACCTGGAGACCAGTTTCTTCTCTTTCCCTTGGTTCTCCCTGATATATTATTTTCATCTTAAGGAACAGGGCACTGTTGGCCTTGCAAAGCTGCAATGCATAAAACAAGATTGTAGCCTTGAGCTATGTTCCACTGTTCAGGGTGGCTTCCCTGCTTTTCAAATTCAAACATAATCTTTCAGAACTAGGGCAAATGTGAACCTTCTCCTTCTAAACCATAGCAAGGGACAGAGCTTGATGAAAATCATCATATTCCTAGAGGGGAAGCAACAGAGGAAATGTTGTCTAGTATCAAAGGCTCGGGATCTGGAGACAGCCCCAGAGCTGCGACTTATAAGTTACCCGGCCTTGGACAATTTACTCATCCTGTCTGAGCGCTGGTTTATTTTTTGCATAAAACGACCTGTGATTTCACTGTGCTTACACTTTTCATTCTATATTCAGTGCAAGATTGCTTTGTTTTAAATTTTCAAATGGTTATTAGTTAAATCCTGTAACTGTATCACTTCAGAGATGCAATCAAAACATGTCTATGTTTTCGTGTCCCTTTGCCCCGTTACATTCCATGCGGTGGAGTAATCTTTCTCTGCCCCTGCATGGAAAGTGTGCAGATTCTGGCTTTTTAGTCTGCTCTTAAGTAACTGATAATTTTGGGGTCGTGTTAACATGCAGACAATCTCAATTTAGAGACTAGGATATTGGATCCATTCAAGGTATTATACAAATGTCAGTCTTTAAAGGAAAACAACCCTTCACCTCTCTCCATACGTACACCTGACTCTTTTTCTCATTAACCCTTTTCTTGGGCTTTAACTTCTTCAGAACTTTTAAGATTCCTTCTCTGAGGAATTTTCCAGACCAGAGGTAGATGCATCTCTTACTAGGTGGCCTTTTGTGACTCCATGTTTCACCCCTAGGAAACGTGCGTTCATTCCCAGGTTCTTGCCCTGTGGGCGACACTATCAGACACTCAGCTTCTGAGTTATAACTAAGCACCATGAAGGGTTTCTTTGGTTTTAATTACTATCCAACCAACTGGAGACCAGCCACATGCAGTTTTAGCTTCCTTGGGAGCAAGCCAGGCACCTTGTGTCTCTAAACTTGAGGGAAAGTGTCCAGACTCTACCATTACCTTTTGGAAGTCCCCCCTACTAGGTGGAGATGAAGGAAGTAACCCCCCCCAAACTTCATCCCTTTTGGGAGAAGGGGTTCTGACCAAACTGTGACAACTTGCTCCAGAAAAATATTTTCACTACCTCTTCTCTCTGTCTCCACCCAGACTGCTTTTCATAGCTTCTTTCTGACGAAGAAAGGGGGCATAGAGTCAGGAAACTGATTTTCAGAACTTGTGTACATTCTCCATAAGGTGACCTGACGGACCCTCATCCCGTTCCCTGACCCTACTGTGCTTGCACGTTCGCCAAAGAGATGGAGACAGCAAGAGTCTAGCTCACCATAGCTGGAACTTGGATACACCAGTATATTTTATGGTATATTTTACCCCCATAATGTTAGTCTTCCACTTTTCCCAATTTACTTTTCTGCATTTTCTTAAAATTTTTCTCCTTAAGAAAGAGACCCATTGGGATAACACATTTTTTTTACCTTTACATTTTCTTTTTCTTTCTCTTTCTGTTGACTAACTTGGATCAAATACATTAGAAAAATGCCCTTATCTTCTAGTCAACACAGCACTTTCCTTATGTGGATTTGAAATTCAGCCTGTTTGAATAATGGAGAGTTCATAGCTTTGTAAGGCATCCCATTTCATTGTTAGCTTCACTCGTTAGGAAGTTCACTCTCAAATTATTGTAATTTATTTACATGAATCTTCACTTCTTTGTAATTCATATCAGCAGTGCTTTGAGTTTTTCACTCTTTAGCTCAAATCCCCCAAATGGGGCCCAATCACCATGTAAATAAGGGCCATAATCCTGATCCCAGGTTTTAAGACCTTTGATTCAGGTCAGGTCCTATCCTGCCCATTCATCCT